CCCCAAAACCCCAAAACCCCAAAACCCCAAAACCCCAAAACCCCAAAACCCCAAAACCCCATGAGGCTAAATGTTAATTGAATTATCTTTAAATTATTATAATTCTTTACGAAGAGAATCCTTGGAAACTCTCTCCAAAGCTTGTAAGAATCGATTGTAAGAAGGCTTTTTCGGTTTAGAGAAATGCCTCCCCAAAGGCTTAGGAAAGATACTAGAGAAATAAGGAGAATAATGTTCAGTAGAAGAGAAGAAAGGAGAGTTATACAGTGGGATATGTCATCATGTTCATTTATCCTTGTAGTCAAAATTTCTTTGTAGCCCAAGTATTTGTGTTACTAAACCTTGATCAGGAGTTACTATTCTCAAAGGAATGGTTGAGCTTCCTAAATCTATCCAATCGTTTCAGAAATCAGATCAAGGGTAAATGCTTCAAAGGTTGTAAATAATTGTTTTATTCTTGCTGCTGTGTGTTTCCAAGAGTTTAGCAAAATTATCCGTAAACTTACAATCTCAAAGTGCAATTAAGCACTCATTCATTATGATATCTCTTATAGTTGGGAGAGATAAGTAATCATTAATTTCTTTAATCTTTGAGCAATTGAAGATCAAAGAATTTGTTCTCATTTTCTCCAGGTTATCAGCAAATAATCCCCAAATTTCCCTCCACGGAGTATTCTCTTGTCAAAGGTCGACCCGATGTTTTAGGGATCCTTCAAAGGAAATTTTTAAGGTTGAAATCCTTAATCGATCTTGATTAAGAAGCTTCTCAAATAGCTCTTTTAATTGCTCTAAGTAATCATCTTCAGGCTTATATAAATCAAATATCAAAGTGAGTGTCTCCAAGTTTTGTAGCTCGTACTGGTCAATCTTCAGCTTAGCATTCTTAAGGTGCCTAAGCGTACTGGCTTCAGAGATTTTTAAGCTGAGGTGCTTGTAGGCGCTTAGTCGAGTGTTGATCTTATAGTGGTGGAGTACTTCAATAATTTTGTCTGTGTCTTTTCTGGAGATCGTGTCGAGTGTTTTCATCATCTTTTGTTTTTGATTCCAAATTTTATTTGTCTTCTTTCAAAGTTGGGTCATTAGAAGTTGCCATTCGTCATAGTATCCGTAGAAGCAGAGGACTTCGAACATAAAACCGGATCATTGGAATATGTCAGTTAGAGACTTTCCCATTATTTTGGAATTTAATTTAATCATGAAAAAGCAGCCTTTTAAATATCTAAGGTTCAATAAAATATCTTTAACACGGGGTTTTGGGGTTTTGGGGTTTTGGGGTTTTGGGG